TGGGGCAAGGAGAGAATTATAGCAAGGAACAACCGATCAAATACGTGTTGCTCTCCTGTCAGTGTGCCAAGTGCCGTATTTACTCTCGCTTTTATTGTTGCAGACCGCTCAGCTGATGCTGGATGCGCTGTCGGAGAGAGCCAGCGCACAATTAAGCCTTTCTGCAGGAATTCACAGGATGAGCCGTTCCCACAACGTGTCAGTAGGTGGCAAAAAGCTACAACCCTTGTGCTAAGCAAGAAATAAATATTTTTTCTACTCCTGCGAGAACAGGAGGTATCTGTGGGCAGCTCTGTCCCATCGGCGGAGATGGATCGTGTTCCCCCTGGGCCAGAGATCCCTGCACCAGCACTGCTGGGAGGGGAGGGGACATCCCAGAAAGGGCAACATCCCATATCGGGAGCAGATAAAGAGGCTCAGAAGAGAAACAGGAGCTGCCTCCCTCCTCTTAATTCATCAGGGGACCCTTGTGCCATCTCTTGACTTTAGTCAGGAATTATTTAAAGAAAGCTGGAAACCATAAGGGCTTAATCGCCGTTTCCAGCATTGGAAAACAACAGGTTTAGAGCTGTGCTATCGCAGCGCAGTCTGAGGATACCTAGTTAGACAAACCAAAACGTGCCACGGTTGATATTTTTCAAGCTGATGATAATACTTTAATCTTCATGTACAGCCTGAAACGGAGCTGCTCAAGTCAATGTTCTTGGGCGCTTTTCTCTTGCGGCTTTGTGTAAGCAGCTTGAAGCAATCCCAGTTGCCTGTCACACACCTTCCAGGGAGGCAGGACAGATAAAGGGTTTAATAAGGTTAGTGGATATATCCCAGTGCCTTTGATGGTGGGGGTTTTTCTTCTGCTTTTGAATGTGTGCGTGTGTTGGGGAAGGGAGGATGTTGCACGATGCTGAAAACTTGCATTCCTGAGGAGGTCAAATACTCTGAGCACCAGGTGGGAGAGAGCCCGGGAAGGTTAGAAAATCACATTAATCCAGACTACTCAATGAGATCCAGTTACAGCGTTGTTCAATTTTATTTACCTAACACCTCTCTTTACTAAGTATAAGTAAATCATTTTTCTGCTCAGGAACAATAACAGATATTACAGCAACCCTGGCTGTAAGGTCTCCGAAATACCTTCCTGCTTTTTTAAATACAGAGGTAAGGTTCATTGACATTTCCTCTTATAAGTTGTACATTTAATTGCTAATGATTTTGCCAGACACTAACCGCTGGTGCTGACTTTCCCCAGCTCGGTTGTCTGCTTCAGGCTGAGCGTTATAATTTTGTTTTAACATTTCAGCAAAACTGGTTCAGCTAAAATGGAGCTGGAGGAACTTGGGTTGCTCTAGCCGTGTTCATACCACCAACAAAAACATCCTATAACTGTTTCACTGGGAAGATCAAAATGTTCCTTGTGCTTTGGGGCAGGGATCTATCTGACCGACATCTCCCCTTTCTTCAGGGCTGTGCCATTTGCTGGTACCCATAGCCACGTCATTAACTGCATAAAATCTCCATTCTTCGCCATCGTGGTGACAACTGACAATGTGAATTCTCTGAAGGTGCTGCGTCTGGGCTGAGCGGCTTCTGCCTCAGCGCAGCTCCTGTGTGGAGACACGTTTAACCTGCAGGATGGGCCCAGCCTGCCTCAAAGCTGGGTGGCTGGTGTGGGATGCAGAAACACCTTTTTAGCCAGCAGGTAACTCACCCCATCCCAGGATGGACAGGGGGAAACGTCACCGCCTGGAGATGCCCTTCACTCCTCCTCTTGCGCTCTCAGCTATGAACAGAGCAGGTGACTGGTCTATATCTGCTTCACAGCCCTTAGATAGCCAGAATTATGTCGGACAAATCCCGCTCTACATCCCTGCTCTGAAACCTTCCCCCTTGGCTCTTCCTCCTCTGGCTATGCGTTGCTCCGCACCACCAAAATCAAACCCCGTGCAGGTTTCCTCATCGTTATCCTTTAAAACCCATCCCACGTCCGCGCCTGCCAGCCGGGGTGCAGCACTGCTCCAGCCTCTCCTCTCCGGGGAAGCACGCTGGGGTCAAGGCGAGGGGCTCTGCTAAAACACAGGCACTGGTTTCTGTGGTGCGTGACTTGGATTGAAGCTCTGCGTGCTCAGTTATGTTGAGTGGCAAGTTTCATCCTCTCCATAGCTGGCTGTAATGACTCAGCCTTCAGACGATGAGCTCACATCGAGCATTTGGAATTGGGAGCTATTCAGAGAAAAACAGCTCTGTAAAGTCTTCCTTGCCGAGTTGCAGCACGTGCGTTGTGGGGTTTTTTTCCATCTTCTGTGATTTGTAGAAAAGTCTAAGTTTCACCTTTAGTAACAGAGAAAACATTTTCATTTCCAGCCTCTGAAAGGATGTTAGAAAACATGAGAAGAGGATGAGTTGTTGTCTGCCTCTCTACAGGTTATGATGAATTAATACAATTGAGAGCAGCACAAACAATTTTGAGCACCAGAAGTAGAAAGCGGGTTTGCTGGTTTTATCGCCTCCATAAGAGCAAATTCTGCACACTGTAAAGTGATAAATTAATGCTCAGAGTCTCTTCTCTGCACAGTCTGTGATATGGATCGACTGGTCCACACACTCTTCTCCGTGGGCAGCACACTTCCCCAGTGCTGGCAACATGATTATTGGAAAACTGATCAGCTTTATCTGAGATAAATTGCATTTCCAGCAATTATAGCTTAATTGTTGACAGATGGGAACGCAGAAGGGAGATGTGTCACATCATTAAGAGGACAGGTGTATAGACAAGTGCCAGATTAATGGTTCCAGCCCATTAAATCATTGACCTTTTCAGCATACCCTCAACATCGAATTCAAAGCTCTCACAATATTTCCAGCTCACACATGCTGATCATGTTTATCAGCAAAGTTCTCAGGGGCGTTTTTAAAACACACAGGCTCCAGACACGGACTCATTAGCCACGAGCAGTTCTCCTTTCTCATTAAAATCAGTTCTCTTCTTCCTCCTTCTCTGTGTTGGGGTTTGGTTTCTTGGCTTTTCAGTGAAATCACGCCTGGCGTGTGGGCTTTCTCCGAAGAGCAGTTTTCTCCATGAAGCATGTAGTCATGCTGTAATGGGCTATACATTTAGGGATGTCAAAAAGAGAGGGAGAGGTGAAATTAGGACAAGAGAAGCTCAGCGCTGGACAGCTGTGCTGGAGGCTCCAGCTTTGATTTGGGGCTTTGGCTGTGATTTCCAGCTCCTGCTCTGCCTGGGATTTTCAATAAAGCCTAAGAGAGACAAATAGCTAAATACCGTTGAAACTGAGTCAGCCATGGGTGTCTAATTCCCCTAAATATGTGTAAAAATGTGTCTCCTGCTCTTTTCCTGGCTATGTAATCCAGGAAGCTGAGGATGCAGTGCAGACACATCCAAAACAGCTTTGCGGGAGGTAGTGCGAGTTCAAGATAGCGACGCAGGCCATGCCTCATCTGCCCTTAGCTACCCAAGCCCTGCGCTGTCCTGGATAACTGAGAACTGACCCCAGATCTAGGTATTCTGGACATCCTGCCTTGAAAAATGAGGGTAAGATTTCCAGCTGAAGGAAATGAAAGTTGCTGTGATGATAATCGTATTTGTTACTCCTGGAGTCCCTGTCCTGTCCCAGCGAGCTGATTTGAAGATGCGTTACCCTCTGGTAGGTTTTAGAGAGACCAAGTGGAAAGCAACCCAGGGAGATAAGCAGGAGGTACGAGGAAGAGTTAACGCCCTTCATCAGCTCTGCAACTTCAATTTCCAGCTCCTGCTCTGCCTGGGATTTTCAATAAAGCCTGAGAGAGACAAATAGCTAAATACCATTGAAACTGAGTCAGCCATGGGTGTCTAATTCCCCTAAATATGTGTAAAGGAGGTAAAATGGACGCTGGGAATCAGGCAGGCCTTTTCCCCAGGGCCAGGGCTGGCGGTGGGCTCTCTCCCTCCCTTGTGTAGCACCAGGCCCCCACATATCCAGTTTCTCACACTAAAATAGCTGTAAGATGCGTCACTGAAATCCCAGGGAATCGTTCTATATACGTGCTTGAATGACTTACTGTCTTCCACAAAGATGATGCACCTTTACTGCGGTGGCCTTTATGGACCTACAAAGACAACCAGATGGGAGACAGGAGGGCTGGGTGAAGTTCTCTCTCAGATAACAAATGATTTTATAAGGAAAAGCAGATAATTTTATGAAAAAAATACAGTTTAGGAGAGATGGAAACTGCATGGATCTCTTTGATAGATCTGGAACCCTTCATGTAACCATCTTTTTCAATATACTTGGAAATGTCAGGTTGCAACAGGGCAGCTTGTTCACATTCTCGGTGGATGCAGCAGCCTTGACAAGCACCACCGGGGTATGTGTCTGCAGGAGATGCAGTTGCAGGAGATCCCTCAGTTGCCACCAGTCACTGCGCAGCGCTGAACCCTGGACAGAGAAGGCAAGTGAACGAAAGCCAGCTTTTTCAGAAGATTGTCCATAAAACTAGAGGTTAGTACTGAAGAAAGTACGTGTATTTCTGTGTCTGGGCGGGGAAGGAGAGGAAATTCCAAAGAAATGTCAAAAAGGAATTTTAGAAATGCCAGAATATTTATTATAAAGATTTCCTAAATGAATCATTTTACCTTGCATTTTGAACTGGGTTTTTGTGGTTTAGAAAAGGATATAAGGTTAAAAACAAGTTAAACAGAAAGCTTGAGTAACCGAAAGGCAAGCAGAACATTTCATTTCAGTTGGAACTTAATATTTGGGGTTAACCCAGAATATTTTCCAGCTTCTGCCTTTTTTTTTTTTTGCCAGCCTTCTCCTCCTCCCTCTACCCCCACTTCATTGTTGCTCGGTCCAAGCCATTTTTTCCCCACATATTTTGATTCAGCCACATAACCCAAGCAGTCATTATTCACTCCACATCAGCGATCTCCTCATTTCCAGCTGTCCTTTCCACTGGCCCGTACTCCCAGAAATGCTGCTTACTGCAAACATCGTGTCTCCACCTTCAGTCCATCCACCCAGGGGGGTTTCAGCCCCACCAGAGCTGTGGCTTGTTTCTTCAGCACATCCCTCTCACCCCAAGCCATGCTATTAGAAATCCTCATCAAAGAAGTCATCGAAGAGAGAAACTCTCTCTGTCTTGGTTCTCACAAGCGTAGGCTTGCGGTAAATCTTCTTCTCTTCCCTTTCCCACTCCTCGGAACCCGTGCTGGAGGTGTCCCAGAACAGATCCCTCGTCCGCGACTCCCTGCAGAACCACAGGTCAACCTTCCTGCTCTTGCCTGGAGCAAGTTCAGACCCATCATGCTGCCTGGAGAGTCCTCTACCCCATGTGTTTCCTTGGGGAGAAAAAAAAAAATGAAAATCATAATTTTGTGGAGCTGCATGCCCAGTCCCCTAGAGTTTAGCTGGAAACAGCTACGGGCAGCTGGAGGCATGTCAGAAGATCCTGAGAGATGCCTGTAAGACCATACCCCATGCTCAGGGCTGGGCAGGGTAAGGTATAATATACTCAGGATTATATTCGGTGAAATTATAGAGTCTGGCAAGAGGCAGTATGGTTTTATCCCCAAGCAGGAGAGCGCTGAGGCGAAGAAACACGAGGGAATAGGAGCAGCCGAGTCTGTTCCCCTTTCTCCTGGTGAAAGTTCACCAGCAGACAAGTTTTTCACCGATTTAACCATTTTTACCCTCGGTGATATGTTTCCAGCCTGTGCCGAAGGTTGTCACGTGCAAGCAAAGCAGAACAGGGCTCGTGCCTCGGAAATGTCAGTATGAAGTGGCGGCTGAGATTCACTTCGACTTCCCCTTCACTGGGGACAGTAAGGTCACCTCGAGTGCCCTGGCATCTCCAACCCCCCCAGCTGCTCCCCCAGCCTGCGTCAACCAGTGCCCCAAAGCTTAGATCGGAGTCACAGCCAAATCCAAAGCACCGCAGGTCAGCCCTCCAGACTTACGCTACGCCCATTCCTGCTGCTCGCCCACCCTCGAGGCGTGCGGGGGAATGAAAAGCCCCTGCTCAGTGTTTGCTGGCATCGCTGGCACACGGACTGTGCCGTGCTCCCTCCTGCGCTACGGCGTGGGCTGCAGCAGGGAGACATGCCCAAGCGGGGCTGAGATCTGTCGCCCTTAAATTAATTTCACCTGATGACTGTTCACGTCAGACGTTGAAAGTAACACGGAGCCACGGCTGGAAATCATCTAACCGGGAACATCCCACCTTAATTACACATCACCCAGAGGGATGCAAATCTGTGATGGAAATTGCCTGCCTCTGGGCAGCGGGCAGCAGTTTCCATATAAAACTAAACCTAAAAAGGGAGTAACCTCAGTGACTGTAACGTTTACCCCATGGTCATTTAAGAACGGCAGGAGTCCAGAGGCTACACTGTGCATGTGAATGCAACGTATTGGTGGACCATGCAATGATGAAGCCAGGAGCAAATCTCTGGCAGCTGTTGCCCAAGCAGCTCATTCTCCATTTCTTTCTCCTGCTGAGCCCAGTTCCAGCTTCCCAACGTGCCCAAGGGTGCTCTGCCAGAGAAGACTTACTGCAAGGTTCAACGCCCCAAAATGTATGTGGGTACCCTCCTTCGGTCCTTCATGCATGTCAAGGGGGAGAGACAAGGCTGACTGTTCCCCCAAAAAACAGTCTCACAAGGTCCCTGAAAATAACCAGCTATCTCAAATCATCCAAGTTTCCCTTTTACTGCAAGGGAACATCACGCTTCCTTTCTCCAGAGCAGAAAAATTTGAGATGTAACCAACCTGGTGCAGTAGAAGAGCTCTTCTGAAGCCCACCCTGCTTGACCCCAGCTGAAGGTTTGAGCTGGTTGTTTGCACCATGTGCCCTGGTATATTTTGCCAGGGAACCACAGAGTTGTGTACCCACAAATGACTGCAGCTACCAGCGGTTCAGCCCTGTGTTCCCTCCAGGAAGGGACCAGCTCCGTGCCTGCATGGGGCAATCGCTGGGTTAGCGTGGGGCTGGGGCTCGGCTTCGGCTCCCCAGCTGAGGATGGATGCCTGTTGTGGCGGAGACTCTGCCAGAGTAACTCATGGCTCGTGCTTGAAGGAAAGCCGGCAGGGCACGTTTTTCTCGGCAGCTGCCAACCCTGCCAGAGTGACCACCGTGATATTGTCACAGCCTACATCCACCTGAGCACACCCCAGGCTGGGGCAGGAGGTGTCCAGTGCCGGGGCCGAGGGCAGGGGGCAAAACCTGGTGTAAGGGTTGATCTCCCGGCAGTCGTTTTCCATTTTTTTTTTCTCCTTCACCCCTTTGGCCATCGTGTTGGTGGAGCTTCAGAGGTTCCCCCCAGCCCGTGTATATTCCCCTATGCAGCGGTCTATATGCTCACCTCCTGGGATGCTTTTGCCCAATGGACTCCCTGCCTCTCCAAGGACACGGGACCCCAGGGACACCCTCTGTCCTTGTGCTCAGTTTGCCATGCAGGGGACATGTGGGACAAGCTGAGACTCTTCTGCCGGTGGAAACCTGCTCCTGCAGGGGCTTGGCCCTGGGGACTTTGCTTTTAAGCCCCTATGGCTATTCACATCTACTCAGGTCTATTTGGATGCTATCAGAGAAGCAGCCCAGACCTGAGTCCTGCTCTGAGGCATCCCAGCTCTGTGCCTTATGACCACATCTCACTGCTTCCCCCCCGCCTCCAGTCTTTTGAACTTGCCCCATGTCACAGCAGGAGATGGAGCAGTGAAAGCAGTTTCCATAGGGAGACTTCTTTGATGACATTTAAGAGGCTGCTGGTGAGTTTTACATCTCCTTGGAAAATTATTCTACTTACCACGGTCGTCTCCATGAAAACGTTGATTGTGCTCAGCAGGGACGAGGTCTCGGCTTTCGGCGCTGTCACCTCTCTGGGGAGTGTCAAGGACTTTCTTTGGGCTGAATTCCTTGATTTTTTGTTTATTGATTTTTGCCTCCCTGTGGAGATTTCGCTTCAGCTCTGCCTGGGTTTGCAAACAAATCGTCAACACAAGCAGCAGAGGAGCAAACACATTTTAACAGCTCGGCACGGCATATCATTAAGGGGTTGGTGCTGAAAATAATTACACAGTTGAGTAGTTTAACCAGGGCAAATGGTATTTGCCAAACTGTGACTGAACATGACCCGGACAGAGATTTTTTGGTTTCTCCATGGGCCACAGCCAAATGAGGGCAAAGCGTTGCAAAAATCAGAAGTAATTACTGATCATGGGGACCCCGGGGATGCTCCCCACCTCGCCTCTGCCTAAACCACCAGGAAAGCTTCATTTGCTCTTCCCAGCAACAGGCTTTAAGCCCCTTGGTCCATGGGAGAGACACCGGGGATGGGCAGACCCCCGTCTGAGAGGGGAAGCCCCAGCGCCTCCCCCAATCCATCTCAGCGTTACCTCTCGGCGCCTGCGGGTCAAGTCCAGCATCTGCAGCTTGTGCAAGTGCTGCCGCCTGCCAGGGAGGTGTCTCAGGCTTTGCCCCCTCTTCTCCAGAGCCTACGAGGTGTTTAAAAACGTAAATAAATACACCTGCATTTTCTGAAAGAGAAAGGAACAGCCACCAGCTCGCAAATCCACACCCAGCCCCTCGGGCGCTCCCCAGATAAAGGCAGCGAGCATCTCCCTGCGTAGCCAACTTGCAGGAATTTATCACAAATTTCCACTGCGCTTGCAGTTTATCTCTCAGCTCTGGGGCATGATGGAAAAATCTTCATTAAAACAATGTATACATGCTTCTGCCCCCCGAGGTGTTACCGCTTTGAGCCGGCTGTCCAAGGTAATCTCATGATCCGAAGGGAGGAACCACTTTTGCACGTTTGGGGTTGCAGGGGGTGTTTACGGCACACAGCACTTGCAGCCCTCTCCCTGCCGACTGCAAGCGAGGGGTGTTCAAGTTGCTCAGCCATTTAACAAAGTGGCCCTCAAGCCTTTAGCCTCAAAAATATTTAAGGTCCTGGCTCAGCAGGTCCTCCTCATCCACGGAACAGTCATGCTGGAGATTCAAAAACTTTCCTCTAACTTTGTATCCTTTCACCCACGCACCGGTGTTTCAGCCGGTTCCTGGGCTTAGCCAGGAATGGGAGCGCAGCCGGTGTAAAACCAACTTCTGCTCTTCGGCTCCTCGAGGTGCCCGAACTGTGAGGGAAAGGAGCCTGCAGCCGGCAACAACCCGTGCACGGGGCTTGACGTGTGCACTTACCTTCGTTTTTGGGATTGCAGCCACTTCTTGCTGACTCCAGGGCTTTGCAGGAGCGATGGCTTGCGGAGGGCCAGCGGGTTCAAGCCTCTACAAGTCCAATATTTATAATATTCAGCACTGCTTGTTCCACACAATCATAAAACCTGATGTGAAACTACCTTGACATTTTTCCAGCTCCAATTCTGGCCCAGCTGCTTGGGATACAGGAAGGAGATTGGCATCTCTAGCAGATGCTCAGGGAGGTGAACATCTTATGTGCTTTGGGAGTGGACGAAACCGGGGGAATCGCCTGCATTAGAGTCAAAGCAGCAAAACCCCAGTTTGACATTAGTTTCATCCCTGTAGGTATTTCTCCTTGAGCCTCAACAGTGCCCAAGGCTCCAGCCAAGACCAGAGTGAAGACAAACCCCAGCCCAGATTGCTTCATGTTGAAGCTGAAGCATGGAGAGGTCTCATAATTTAATATAAAGTCTCCTAGCAGGTCATCCAAGGGCAGATCCCAGATACCTGAGACCCAGAGCACCATTCCCTCTGTCCAACCAGTCTCTTTTATGTTGGCCTGAGTACGACCTTTCTCTGCAGGACTGTGCGTGGTACAAAGTGTCTTTCCTGGTGGCTAACGGAAGCGGGCAGAGACTTGCTTTACAGACTGCCCTGAGCACGGATTTTTATCTTAAGGACCTAAGTTGTCTCCTTAAATTGTGCCAAGCTACTAGATGATACTGGGTCATTTCATGGCTTGATATTGCCAGTGTCCCCTTCTAGGCTGGGAGCTCAGTCCAGCTTCCATAAAAATTAGGGGGAGCACCATCAAGGGATTCATCAGTAAGACCTAACTCACACTTTGTGTGGGCCATCATCAGCCTCTTGAATATGAACTGGAGTGTCCTCTAAGTGTTGACATGCCTCTGGCTCTCTGCACTGAACTGCTGCCAAAGCCTGAGCTGCAATTTTGAAGCATCCTGTAAGTCAATGCAATAATGCAGGAGAAAAAAAGTCAGCAGCATGTAAAGGAGGCATCCCCCGTCAGCCCCGAACACCAAGTTCACATGTCTTTCAGCATCAAAAAACCCCCACAAAACTGAATATGAAGTTTAAAAAATGGCACTAGATGGCAGCATGTGACACCACAAACTGTGGTCCGGGCTGTGCATCACTCCTAGATGCCACCAAGGCAGCCAGCGCGGGGTGGCTGAAGGCAGATAAACTCCCGCATCTATCGGCTCATCTCGCTGCGCCCGGCGGGGAAGCCAAGTTTCAGGCTTTCGGCTAAAGTTGTGTCGCAGGCTGGAAAATTGACTCTCTTCGTCTCTGTGAACCTCACGGGATTTTCCTCTGGAAACACTCCCTGACCAAAATCCTCTAACAGTCCTTGAGAAGGCCACGTCATCCTGCTCCGCTGTCTTTGAAAATATTCCCACGGGGAAAAGGGCTTTTGCTGGTGCTGTTTACACTCCCTAACAGCAATGGCAGAAGCACGGGGTAGGATTAACAGTGGTGTCGTCCTGCAATGAGTATTACCAGTGTTTTAATAATACATAAGTACAGCCGTAATGGAAATAAGATCAAAGACTAAAAATTACATGCTGGTAGGAGATTTTTAAATGAGGCTGCGATTCCACAGTTCACCGGGCATAGCTGGGCGCATTCCAGGTGCTGCTGCCTCATCCTCCCACCAAATCCAGGGACACGTTACTCAATAGTTGGTGGCCACCTCTGCTCTCTGAAGCCACCAGTCTTGGCCAGAGCCGCAGCCCGGGTTTCAACTGACCCCCGTCTGGTGGCTCCTCTGTTCTTTATTATATTAAAAGGGCCTTAATCACAGCAAGGAAGGCTTGAGCAAAGCACCCCCGCTTCAGCGGGTTTGCTGTTGTGGGACGTGTGCAGAGGGTTTGTCACCAAATTTTGGGAGAGTGGAGATGCTCTGGGGGAGGAACAGGAGGGTCTCAAAGCAGTGCAGGGAAGTGAGATGTTCACCCAAGGGTTTTGATGGCAAGGGGTTATATAGGTGCTGGGGAAGGAAGATGCCCAGCGGCAGCTGAGGGGCAGGTTGGCGCTGGTGTAACCCAGGGCAGTCCCAGGGCTGCTCCAAGCTGCACCCAGTGCTGGGATGACCCAGCACCTACAGGAGTGCTACAGAGAAGTTCGTAGCCAGTTGGAGCAAATACATCTCTTTCATGGGTTAAACAGCCAAGAAGCACGTTTGCCTCCATTTGTCCCCAGCCACCGACTGCTGAGGACTCCCTCCAGCCTCCATTAGGCTGCTGATGTGCACCATGCAGCTGGGCTCTCTTAGAGGGGTCTCGGCAGCAGGTACAACATTTGCCCTTAATTGCTAATTGAAAGTCCTGCCTAATGAGAGCGTGGGAGGCTTATTTCCAGCAGCCAAGTGCTTTCCCCAGGCAGGATACTCTGCTGCACCCATGCTTGGAGGGGTCTGCTCATGTTGTCTCCTTTCCCTGCTGGATTTTATTCCTCTGAGCCCTGTTTGCTCTCAGTTTTGGAGCCCCCAGACCTGGGCCAAGGAGCAAAGAAGAAATGCAGCCAAAGGCCTCAAGCAGGGGCTCTGAAGGAGAAAGATCTGAGGAGCAAAGTGGGGGAGCTGCAGCTCTGGGGCATCCAGAGCGGGGCTGAGCCTGGTGTCCCTGATGTCCCTCCCTGACCCCCTGTGGGCACGTAGGGATGGAAAGAGAACTCAGTCTCAGCCAAACACCAGCAGCTTTGCATCTTAAATAGCGAGCAGGTAAGAGATGGGAAGTTGGAAGGTATTGCTGGCTGGTTTGGGAGGGTGTGGAGAAGCAATGAAAATGCAGGTGGAGCACAGAAGGCGGCGTGCTTCTCTGGGTTTGGGTTTTAAATAACCTGATTCACAGCAAGAATTGTCCAGCCCCGGTAATGCAGCTCCAGCTTAGCCCTGTGAGCACGTGATGGCCTGAGCCTCACCCAGGTTTTGTATTGCATAAAAGCATCAGTGCATAAAAATATCAGCACAGAAAATGCGTGTGGAGGGCTTCTTGTCACTTTTTTTAAATGAAATAGCAACTCTAACCCTTGTGTGGCATGGTACGCTAGCAGTGTTTCCTTCTTTGCGGTAAATTATATGGATATAAATATATTTTTGGAGCTTTAGTTATGTTGTGATAACTCTTGTGTGGGGAAAAAGCCGATTGCCAGGTCAGGCAGAGTCCTGGGTTTCAGGGCTTGGAGGGGAAGGGATCTGGGAAGTGCAGGAAGGGGAAAGGAAGGTCATGGAGGAGTGAACAAGGGTGTTTTATGTTTGTTTGGGGAGGATTTTTTTTATATCTAGATATACAGAGGTGTGTGTGTGCACGTGTATATACAGTGCTATTGAGGGGAGAAGGTGAAGGTACGGGTAGGTACACAGCATGCATAGCCATTCTTGAAACCTAAAATGATTGCTCCCTGCTTTCACCGGCCCCTATTGCAAAGCACGTCTGTCTGCTTTACCTGCGTCTCTGCCCCTACGCTGATGCCAGACCTTGATGGGATATTTGGCCTGAAGAGCCAAAACCAGCCCCACGTGATGCAAGTTGGATCCCTTCTGCAAAGGGCTCTGTCTTGGCCACATTAGCCCCATGGGAGCACAAAGGTTTGGCTGCGGATACCCAGACACCACAAAGGAAAGCGGGTCATTGCAGGAGAGGTGGCCTTGTGGCAAGTGCTGGGACGTGTTGGGTGTCACCATAGCACAGAAGGGCTGGCCAGCGAGGCATGGACCCATGGAGGCGGGCAGGTAGGCAGGCAAAGGGCCTCGCTGCATTGGCCCCTCTTTGGCTGTTCTTAGAAGATGAAGTCCTCTCCCTTGTGCTAATGAACCAAAAATAACCTCTCTGCGGTCAACGTACCTGCTCTGCCCCAGGTATCAAACTTGGGCTGGTGATAAAGCTCGTCTAGGGATGATCATCTAGAGGTAGGACCTCCTACTTGCATTGCTGTAGGATATTTGTTTTCCCCACCGTGGTGCTATGGCATGTGCCCGCACCTCCCAGAAAGCCCATGTCATATTGGTCAATCAGAGCAACTCCATAGGGAGCTTTTCAAACTCCTCTTACTTGAGGTCTTCGTGGCGGGTGCTGTTTAATGATGCTGGTTTCTCCCTTTTCCGGAACGGTGTTGAACGAAAGGGGCCCTTAAAGATTAGAGAAGAAATGGATGAAGTTACTTTTGGGTGATCATCAACTGCTAGGCTGTACTCAGCAACAGTTTTCTGCCCTATTTCTTGGTTGGCATGTCCTACTAATGTCTCTCTCGGTGTACCCCAGTGACACATGGTATGAATTATTCTATTAGCTGCAGAAATAAAGTGAGGATGTACCTGTGCCTGCGGGTTTCTAACAAATGTCTGTCACATTCCTCTCCTACTTCCCTCTACAACCTCTCATGCATCCTACATATGACAATAATCATCCTCAGTCCCTCCTGTGGCCTCCCTGGGTCCCTGGTGTGACCCAGGGTCCTCTTTTCCTTCCGTGGCCTGTGACCATCAGCTGGCCAAGAAACCTGTCTGCCCTTTTAAAGTGAGGAAGGGGCAGCAGTTTGGGTCTCTTCTTGCTGCACAGTCCCTGAGACTTTATTATTATTATTAATATTGTTATTATTTGGTTGAATTGAGAAATATCTCTGAGGCTTTTACTGACGGTGGCAAAGCTGGGTTACAGCCAGCCAGTGGGTTCAGAAGTTAGTGGGTTATGGACAGACAAGCGGTACAATCACAGACTGTCGTCATCTTTGGAAATCAGCCTGAAATAACGTGCTACACACCGGTGATTGCCCGCTAGTTATAAAAGCAGTGCTTTCGCTGAGGCCTGAACGTGATCTGGGCTTGGGTCCGTTCTGTGCTGGTGCTCTCGGGTGGACACCGCTGCGTTTTGTTTCGGTTTGTTTGTTGCACAAATAAATACTTTCATATGCAGTAAGTATTTCTTTTACAAAAGAGTTTTTCTATCCTCACTATCCTCCAAAAAAATCTGTCTTGGTGCACTCAAATGCCATTTTATATGTGGAGTTGAGCGAGGTGCTGCTGAGCAGCTCCGGCTCCCGCATGGTGGGAGCCCCGAGGTGGCCGCAGGGGAGGAGAGTTGGGGATAAGTGCAGAAATTACACTTACAGTTGATGCCAAGTTTAATAGTTCTATTAGAAAGAAAACCAATAATTTGGAGGTCACCTTATGAGGGACTTCAGTGGTCCCTTTAAAGGAGCACCATGGAAGATTGCCAAGGCAGGGCTCTGGGAGAAGAGAGAGAAGGTGATGGAGGGAGGGCGTTGGGGTATGGGAGGAGACGGTGGCTCCATGGGATAAATGATTGCTGGGCTCTGCTGAGCACTGGCAATGATTAACTGCTGAGCGAAGCTGCGGCTGCTCCGCGCATGCAGGAACGGGCGCCTGAAGTGAAGATTTCCAGCGCAGGCGACTCCTCCGGAGACAGGCTTCAGCTGTCGGGGAGCAGACGCTGAAATAGCAGCTTGTAATAGCAAAAGAGGGGGTTATTAAGTTATTGCCTCTCAATCTGCAGGACAAATTAGCGCATAAAGAATTTCTAAGGGGGAAGTAAAACGTAAGGAGGTGGCTCACGGTGCCGGGAACGTGGCACCCGGCACAGGCAAGGGGCTGGGGCTGGGGCTGGGGCTGGGGCCTGGGCTTGTTCTGGCAAGGTGTGTGGCTTTGGGGAAGTTATTTCTCCCTTATGAAATTTTTTTTTTGTTTAAAATATATTTAAATTATTCCCGCTCATCCCATTCATGCATGTGTCTTGTAGGAGGTTTGCCCTTAACCTCTACAGATACACAGAACTGGGAGCCAAGTGCTCTCTGTCCCCAAACCTGCTCCCTCCTGGGGCAGGGACGGTCCCTGGCACACCCGCACGATGCTGACGGGGAGGGACCATTGTCCCACCACGCAGCCACCACCGAGGGAGCACGGGGCCCAAGCTGAAGTCATTCTCGTGACTTTTTATTTTTTACCCTTGCACTTTAGTTAGTAGCAGCAGATCCTCCCTGCCAAAGGAAGCGGGGATTTAACACAAGCCAAGATGAACCCTCATAAACCAAATAAAACATGTTCTCTTGGCGGCTTTGCTTATTTAGACAGCAGCTCAAGCTAATACATCGCTCAAGTACTCTTGAGCATACTCTTTTTATTTCTGAAAATGAAAAGTCATAGAAAATGACATTTATTGAGGGGGTTTTAAAGTTTTTTTTTATAAGAGTACACATATTTTACAAGCACTTGTTGAATACCCAGTGATGAAAATTTTCCAGAACAGGAGTATTTGGTTGCTCTTGCTGTCATGAAATACTTGAAACCCCCTGTTGTACAGCCAGCCCTGATCTGTATTCACCCCAGGACCTCCGGCTCCGGGAGCATCCCTGCTATCGTGCCAGAGGTTTATTTGCTTTCACCTTCTCCTGATGCCTCTCGGTGGATGATCCTGAAGGAAATATCCATCCCCTGGTGAAGCAGCGGTGCTTAACGCTGCTCGGCATGTGTCAGAAATTCATTTTTGGAAATGGAAGAGAGGGGAGGAGGGCGCTAGGGCTGCAGATCCTCCTTCCTCTGCGCCGCCCTTTCGCGAACCGTGTTGGCGTTCATGGGGGTTGCTCCCTACGCTCACCTAACGTAGCTGTGGGAAGCTGTTCGTCACCATCCAGCTCGTTGCACGGAGCTATGCATCCACTTTCAGGTGGGTGCAAACCTCCTTCCTCGCCTCCGGGAAGGGTTTGGGTGCGGACGGAGCTTAAACCCTGCTGTGAGAGGCTGCGGGAGAGGCTGCACGATGCCACTTGTAGAAAAACACACACAGCTGCGCTATTTGCCATCCTCTGCCTCTTGGCTTATGAAATTAGCCCCCTGCGAGACATGGCTATAATTTATTTTAATGCTGAATTTTACCTGCTGAGCACATTACCCAGAATCTAATTCTAATTAAGCTAATGATATCGATATGCCCAGTGGCGGCAGGTGAGCAGAACGGGTGTATAACCGGGAGTTACAGGGCTGCTGTACGAGGGCTTGCTCGGATGCAGGCTGGTGTCGTTGCATGCCGGGCCGATGCTGGGGAGTGGGGCTGTTCCCAGGGGGACGACCGATGGGAGTAAGGAGCCTGGGATCTGGACTCTGGTGACTGAGACACTTTCCGAAACAGGCTGGGGGGCCAGGGGGGGGAAAAGAGTTTTCCCAAAGCTAAAATGTTCTGGAAATGGCAAAAAGCTACTGATGCAGAACGGCATGTGCACAGACCTACACCCACCCTGCACTGCAGCAAGCAAACCCGCAGCCCCAGCTGAAGCCCTGTGGGTCTCTGCCCTGCGCTTCGCAATAATTCGTTGATGACCCCCTTACCTGCAGAGGCTCTCCCGTACCAGGTCTCCCGGAGAGGTGGAAGTTGCTGGTGAAACGTGGGTTTTCCCCTCCCCCACGGCCGGTGGGTGCAGGCTGGGCTCTCCCGGCACGCCGGGGAGCCGGTATGGGGCGGCGAGAGCGGGCAGGTCCTCCCTGGCGCGCATCGGTGCCACCGTGGTCACCTTGGGGTGTGTCTTGGAAGAGCTCAGGCCCATCTTGCAGAGCAGCAGCTTTGAAAGGAGAAGGAAAACCCCTCATGCACCGTCCTCCCTGAGCAGCGAGGGACCCTTGCGAGCAACCATGGTTCCCGGGGAGCTCCCTGCTGGCCGCCGAGGCCGGGGCTGGCTCCCACGGACGTGCCCACACGTCCTTCCCTGCTCGGTTAAACATTGACCCGGCCCCGGCCATTACCCCACGGGGACGAGAGGTGGCTGCTGCTGACAGAGAAGTGGAAAGCAGCTCGGGGAGCCAGCGCCAAGCCCTGGGCAAGCTTTGTTTTTTACCTACAAGTGATTTTTCAACCAGGGGCACCACCTCAGCTGGCTATTAGCTGACCTGGCAGTATTTCTACAAGCAGCTTTTTTGCCAAATCTTCAGTTTTTGGAAGGAAATTCAATCCTCAGAGCACCAGAAGGGTTAAAGCATCTCCCACCCTGCGTGGGAGAAGCAGCCTGGAGACAGGGGCTGGCCGAGGAGAATCCTCTGCCCTTGCTTGTGCAGGCCGGTGGCACTGCTGGGGAAAAAAAAAAAAAGCAGCTTTAGCACAAACCCACCTGAAAACATCAGCCAAAGTGAGTCATATTCTGCAGTTTTAGAGCTGCTTCAGGATTTGGGCCAAACGCAGCAGGATCGGTGCGTAAGGGAAAGACCTACGTGTCTCCATTTGTTTCTTCCTTTCCGTTCCCAAGGCATACGAGGGGGGGTTCAGAGGCCACGGTTTCCTCAGAGCTGTGGGGAGTCAGTCATTTCCAAGGTGGAGCGGTTGGAAAATACGTAGGGAGGTTTATTTATGCAACAAGTGTACTGTTGCGGGGTGGGGGGTGGCAGAAATAGGGTCGCGGGAGGAGGTCAGAGCACCTGTGGGCTCCGCTGCGAAACACGTGGAAACCAGCAAAGACCGAGTGTGTGAGGGAGAGCCCGAAATGGCCTCAGAGCCGGGGTTCATTTAGCAGAAGCTCATCCCACTGGGATTCCTGGAACAGTCCTGCATAGGTTTGGAGCGATCGGGGCCTCTTTTGGCTTTCCTCTTGGGAGAGGAGTGCTGGGAGGAGGGTTGCGCAGGGAAATGAGGATCATGGCAGAGCCAAGCGTCCGGCACTCATGGCCAGTAGATCCACGGATAAACCACTCGGCTCCCCCTTGATGGAAATGGGGAGGTTTTGAGCTGCAAAATGCCACCGGACAGGGGTAGCACCTCCCAGAAGAAACTGTTCGTCCCTGGAGCAGCCCAGCCAGTTCATGTTTTCAGCTGCAAAGCACTGACATCACTCGTGACTTTGCTTTACAACAAGTCACACAGGGCACGAGAGAGCAGAGTAGCTTAGTCTGTATTTTTTTTTCCCTCCCTCTTTTCAAATGAAAATATAAAATCAACACCCTGCTTCCCTCCTGAGTTTCTCAATGCTTAATATCTTTTTTTCCTTTTTTTTTTTTCCCCCTTCCCTCTCCCCTGCTGAGAACAGGTAATTCCTGTTAAGCAGCCTGGGAAAACGGTGAATTAATTGCAATGATGGATGTGTCGGAGCAGTGGAAAACCCACGTGGATGTTACAGCACGATGGGCGCTAGCTTTATCTGGGTGTTTCACCTGGGTGTGATGCTGTGGCCCTGGCCCTGCTGAAGTCCTCGCAGGGTCCCACTGCTCCCCATGCTGCCAAACCCCCTCTCTTGGCCAGGTTTCTTTCCAAGCCAGATGGGTTTCCTCACCTGCCGTGCAGGACGGCACCACGGCCAGTGATTTAGGGAAGGGGATTCCAAAGGGACAGACATACCTGAGGCTGATACTGCTCCAAGCACTTCATCCGGAGGAGCTCTAGGTGAAGAGATGCTCCTCTTTGCATTTAAAGGTGATGCAGTATCCTTCTGCCTGGTTCATGAGCGCCGGGCCCCACCTCCCCTGCTGCGGTACAGCTCTGTGGTACACGTGCCCAAGGGTGTTAGCCTGACAGCACTGCTCAGCACCTTGATGCTGCATCAGTCAATGACCAATATCTCCCAGCAAATCCCTAAAATCTCAGCATCTGTGTACTTCGGAGCTGCGCTTTGATCTCCACATGCTTTTACTTTGTAAAGCAAAGAGGGCCAAGAGCAGTGGCTGTGGGTTTTGGGGGGGGGAGGAAGGCAGGCTGCGAAAAGATGCCCTCCCTGCAGGTTGCTGGGGCAAACCGAGAGCAAGCTTGTGGTTGAACTGGGTCCCAGAAGGGCCCTGTGGTACTGGAAGAGGCTCCCAAATATTATCGCTTGCAACTGCTGGGCCAAAATTACCCCTTCGCGTCTTTACCTGGGCTCCCTGGACCGTGGCTGTGCAGGGTGTTGGGTGGACACTGGGGGGTTTGCAGGGTGAGCTGTGCATGTGTGGCGGTGGGGATTGTGGTTATTGGCATCGTTTCGACCTGCTCAGCTCGAGAGCGAGCGGTGACAGCCACTGCTACAGCACAAAGTAATCCTGTGTTAGCCCCCCTTGCTTAAACCTGCCTTTAACACCCGCTGACGGCGTTTGACGGGGGGAAGGATGGGTTGAAGTATGCCTGAGCTTCAGGCTGGCTTCGTCACTGCCCTCCTGGTGATGTGAAGCTCATCCTTTTCTTTAACTGGGGGGTTATTTAATGCAGCCTTTTTATCTGTATTTAAGGTTCAGCTCAATTCCCAAGCGCTGTGCTGTAGAAACATGGGGCTGGAAGGAGCTTTGGTCCCATACGTTGCCGTTAGGGACAGCACGTGGTCCCTCCCAGGAGAGTTGGAAGCTCTTTATACCTTTCTCCCATTTCATTTATTGCCTGAAACACTCCACCAAATTCAGCTGGGACCTATAAGTGATACCGATCTTGCCAGAATTGGATTTTCCAGCAAATTTATTGTAGTCAAAATGAAATCATTGACCCCTAAGCGCTCTGATGCCCTTGTTTTAAGGAAGATACAGGGAAAAGCCCAAGGGTAGGGCAGTGCCATGGCTTGGGGCAGGGCACTTTCCCACAGAGGAGCGTTTGTTATTTCACCTGTGCAC